AACAACACTTAGAAACGGCAATTGAAACGATAAGCAAAACAATACTTAGAAAAACGTTACGGTAACCGATACGGCAATAGATTTGCCAGATACATTCCAGTCTCCTCCCAAAACTGCGACCTCCGAGATTCCGCCAAGAAACGATGCTCCAAGACAGGTCCCAAAACGGTATCACCGAAAAGCACGGAAACAGAGGGAGTCCTGCCAGAGACGTCCAATTTCTTTAAAGGCGTGAATCTGGAATCTCGCCCAGAGACGACGTTCCAAGGTCAAATCCGTACTAACGGTAATACATGAATTTTGGTAGCCGACAAAACGATAATTTCGATAGAGGCACTTAAGTTTCCGCGACGAGTTGATCGTTACGCCACAAGGCCGACTTCAAACTCTCGCTGCAAAACGGCACTGCACCACGCAAATTCCGCGACTTGAATTTTCTATCTAACGGTATTAAACGGTATCTTCTCAAAACAACGGTAACATACGATAACAGGTAACTGATAACTCCGGTATGACGGAGACGGTAACAATATAATCCGGCAACGGTAACTGATAACTCCGGTAAGACGGAGACGGTAACGATATAAGTCTTTCTCGGATTACGAGCGTTTGGAGTGTCGACGGCTCAGCGCCTCGAAGAGGGCTACGGTAACACGGTAACCGGGGCCAGCTAACCTCCGACTCAGAAATTCATTCACAAGAAGCGGTATCGACACTTCTTATTTTGATAATCAAGAATAATCGCGGTATTTAGCGGTAACTGAATGTGTCGGAGGCGTCCGCTTTGGCCGGTATTACAGAATTATCTACCCTGGGTGATGGCCTTACAAAGACGGTACGGCTACGCTCGTCAGGACTCTCCTCTGGAGCTGCTCCTTCCTGGTTGCTGGCTCGTTGACAGTGGTTTCTCTGAGGTCTCCCTGGCTCATGTCGAGTCTCCACGCATCGGTCAGCGCACTCTTTTTATAATTTTTCCTCGAGTCGCTTGTCGATCGTAAACAGCTCCGACTTTGTCAATTGTTTATTCTTTATTTGTTTATCCTTGCCTTCTTGCTCGCCAACGGCCGATACTTCAAAATAAGGGCCTTTGAATTTGCCGTCCTCCGGTTCGATCTGCCCGGCTGGCCAGGCCACGGCTACATCGACCGTCTGTTTGGACTCTCGGTGATGGCGGCAACGTCTTTCGGCATCCGGTTGCACTGCCGTACTCCCTCTATCTGGACCTTGTCGGGGCTTCTCCGTAACCTCGGTCCTGCAAAGTTAGAGGATCGGTAACTGCTACTATGACAATGTTCAACGCGAGACTCGATACATGACCTTGGTTTCATATGTTTTCCGGGCTTCCTCTTTACTGTCGAGGTCATCTTTTGAAATCCCACGGCGTTCGCTTTTTCTTGACGTTAGTTACACAAGACGATAAATTGGCCATACACCCTAACGCTAAAATCCTAAGTTTGTCGGTAGATTATAACAATTAAATAAAAGCGCAAGACCCATCGAAGCGGGAGAAATCGTTCCCTCCTCGACCGGGGGGACGCAACTCCAAATTCCGCCTCCCTTCCGCCTCCCTTCCGCCGGGCTAGTGCCCTTGTGACGGGTGCGACGGAAAGCGTCACGTCACAGAAGAAACGTGGGAAGTCGGCAATATCAGACCCTGGCACAATCAAATAACCGTGGTTGTATAGAGATAAGCGTCAATAGGTCATAGGCTAACTTAACGGATAAGCAATAGCTTTAAGAATAGGTTTGTAACCCACCTGTTGCATTTCATTACCTTTGTTTGTAATAACTGTGTCGGAGGCCGGACAAATGATCAGGAAGGGCCGAATTGTAAAACAATACCAAAATCTTGCAATTAAATCGCGCGCTTGAAGGTATAGCGTAGAATCAGAACAGAAGAGCAGCGAGCGAGAGTGGAGACAAAGCAAAAAAAAAAAATAAGTAAACGCGTCATAGGGACGAGTGAGTGATTGCGTCTGTTCGGTCGTATCTTTTATATTAAAACTAACTTAATTCTTTAAGTTTGAATTCTTTGTGTTAAAAGCCCCAAATACTCATTACAATTAATAGTACTCATAATTCGAAAATCAATAGCATGCTCTAAAATCTTTGTCATTTTTACTGCAAGAATTAAAAACAATTACTAAATCATGTTGTCAGAATCACAAAAACCTGTTTTGTGACAAGTGGAGAATAAAAATTATAATGATATAAGACTCATGTGATTTTCAAAATCAAAATTCTTAAAAAGGAGCATAAAGAGCCACAAAGCAAGTTGATCGTGCAAAGGTAATAGTGTATTACTTAATTTACATTATCATTGAATATAAATAAACGTTTCGGCTTGTCATCAAGCCTTTTTCAATATTAATTATAAAAATTACAAAAAAGCCGCAACGCATTAATTACGGAAAAAGTGTGATAACATAATAAAGTTTTTCGGAATAATCCATAGATGAACTGACGTAACGTTCAAATTCAAATGACATTAAGACTGAAATCAGAGTAAAAACAAATAAGAATTCGTGTTATATTAAAACCGCTGGTCGAAGACAGAGTTAAAATAATGTTACATACTTGTAGTAAAAACATAGTGTAGGCGAAGAGATCATCCACTCAATAGTAAGATAAGAGAGAAACACTTAGGTCCATCTTAAATGATGGTTAAAATCTTAATGATCATAAAAGAGTAAACCAAATTAAAGTGAAGGTAAAGAAATTGAGAGGAAGGGAGGGGAGAACGAAAAGACAAGACAAATTTACGTGAGTTATTAACAAGGTGGAAGAGAAGCAATTACATTGAAGAGAATATATATAGGTGGTTGATGACGAGTGATGGTGTCCTTCCTAGAGCCTACGGGTTACCAAAAATCCATAAACTCGGGTGTCCTCTTAGGTTAATTGTTTCTTCCATCAATAGCCCTTTATACGCCCTTTCGGTTTATTATCATAAAATTATTTATAAAATTTACCTCCTCCAGATAACCATATTGATAATAGCTTCGATTTAGTTAATAAATTGAATGGATTAGTGATTGGGGATGAATTCTAAATTATCTCTTTGAATGTAATAGCTATGTTCACCAATATCCCCATTGATTTGGCTATTGATAATATTTCCAATAGATGGGCGTTAATCTCTCCTAATACCTCCATCCCAATTAACGAATTTTTAAAAGGGATTCGCCTGATACTAGGTTCCACATTTTTTAATTTCAATAACAAGATATATAAACAAACGTATGGCACACCTATGGGTTCTCCGTTATCTCCTTTGATTGCGGACCTGGTACTCCAAGACCTTGAAGTTAAAGCTTTAGATAGATTACCGTTTAAGCTACCTTTCTATTACCTACGTTGACGATATTATTTTTGCTGCACCTACTAATTGCATAAATTCTATTTGTGAGGAGTTTAATTCACATCATGAGAGACTTAGGTTTACTGTTGAAGTTGGTTTTGATAATTGCATCAACTTTTTAGACTTAACTTTAATTTGGCTAACAACACAATTTTTTTCGACTGGTTTCAAAAACCTACTGCAACAGGTAGACTTTTAAACTACCATTCCCACCATCCAATATCACACAAAAAAGGGACTATTATAGGCCTAACTGACAGAATTTTTTTACTCTCCCATCCTGAGTTCCATAATAAGAATTTTACATTGGCTATCAACATTTTCTTAAAAAATTGTTATCCAATTAATTTTATTTTTTCGACGATACATAAAAGACTAAAATTTTTAATCCAAAAGACAAGTGATATTAATTCTACAGGTAATATTTCAAATAATAACTTTGATAACAATGGCTTTAAGACTTTCTTTACTATTCCGTACATTTCATCCTTCTACAAAGACTTCAACTCCATTGCCAGAAGCTTCGACCTAAAATTAGCTTTCTCGATTTCTAATAATTTGACTCAATTTATCAAGACTGGTAAAGACATTTTGAATAAATTTTCTCATTGTCAAGTGGTTTACATGATTGCGTATCGTGATTGTGACAAAACGTACGTTGAACAGACAAAAAGACAACTCAATACCAGAATCAAAGAACATAGGAACGACATAAATAAAAAGAGTGGTTCCCCTTCCGTCATTTCTAAACACAAGATTGAGTCCTCTCACGAGTTTGACTGGGAGAATATAAGGATATTGGACGGGGAACCTTCTTATGTAAAAAGAATGATTTCGGAAATGGTTTTTATTAAGAGACAACGGGCAGGCTTGAATAATCAAAATAACACTGAAAGGTTATCTGATGCTTATCTCCCCATTATTAATCTGTTTCCTTCATTAAAATTTTATTACTTCTCTCTCCTACACTACATCTTCACCCCCTCCATTCTACATATGCCTCCTTTCCTTTACTCCTTGTCTTTTCGTTCTCCCATCCCTTCCTCTCAATTTCTTTACCTTCACTTTAATTTGGTTTACTCTTTTATGATCATTAAGATTTTAACCATCATTTAAGATGGACCTAAGTGTTTCTCTCTTACCTTACTATTGAGTGGATGATCTCTTCGCCTACACTATGTTTTTACTACAAGTATGTAACATTATTTTAACTCTGTCTTCGACCAGCGGTTTTAATATAATACGAATTCTTATTTATTTCTTTTACTCTGATTACAGTCTTAATGTCATTTGAATTTGGACGTTACGTCAGTTCATTTATGGATTATTCCGAAAAACTTTATTATGTTATCACACTTTTTCTGTAATTAATGCGTTGCGGCTTTTTTGTAATTTTTATAATTAATATTGAAAAAGGCTTGATGACAAGCCGGAACGTTTATTTATATTCAACGATAATGTAAATTAAGTAATACACTATTACCTTTGCACGATCAACTTGCTTTGTGGCTCTTTATGCTCCTTTTTAAGAAAGTAGAGAATATTTTCCTATACGTTATATATTAATTTAGATTAGGCGTCAAATCCAAATTTCCACTTGTAATAACATTCTGTAACATTAATGGTTCTTTAAATTTAGGGTGCATCATTACCATTGAAGATTCAATGCACCTTTTTAGCAATCAGTGCATTATTAGAAGTATTTATGTATGCATGGCCAGCGGAACATTTAATTCACATAGTAAGTTCATTATTGATAAGAAATATTATTGCTATATTTACAAGTAATTTTACTATTTCTTGATATATTTATTTTAGTGCAACCATGTCGCACAAACAACCTTCGAAATAGAGTGGTATAATGAATTAGGAAATCTTCGAAAAAATATACAAATGATAATACTAAGGAGCCAGAAGCCCATACTTGTTGTATTACCATGTGGTCTGCCCTCGTTATCTTTACGTTATTATGCATCGGTGAGATAATGATTTTTATCAACTATTATTAAAATTGTTTAATAATGCATAGAATTATTTAATAAAATTACAAAATTTAAAATCATTTAAACATCAATTTTAACATCAATTAAAAATAATTTTCTGTAAAAAACACCAAAAATAGGAAATATTTTTCTAATTTTACAATTTAATAAAGTATAGTAGTAATCAGATTATTTAAAGTTTATAGATAACTTTTACATTAATAAATAATATTTAGTTTATATTAAGAACAGAAAATTATTGACAATGTGTATTTCTGCAATAAGAAAAAATATTATTTATATACAGGGTGTCCCAGACCTACCGTATCACCCGTTAATGGCAGATTCTTGAGGTCATTTGGAGACGAAAATCTTAATGCCAAAATGTCGAGGCTACTATAGTATTTGAATGGGAAAGGTTTAAAGCTTACCAATCAGCTTGTCAGAATTTCGCGCGCTCAGGGACATCGTATCTCGAAAAGACCCTTGCACAACACTTTATTCAATACGTTTTATTCACTTCACTCAGTTCTTATTCACTTTATTCACTTTATTCACATTGTTCGCAATACTGACGAATTTACTAACAATAATAATTTCTAAATTGTATTAAAACGCGATGCGCGTCGAACTGTCAAAGCAGTCGTGCCATTGACAAATGACGTTTCTCATGTCATGAGAGAAAATCAATACTATCGGAACGAAGTATGATCTGCTACATGAAATGTCGGTAAGAAATGTCGGTAAGAAATTCGGTAAGAAAAAAACTAATTTTTTTAAATAAAAGTGTTTCTTGTTCATTTATTAACACATATCAACAATAAAAATAATGAAATAACAACAATAAAAAATAATAACAATGAAATAAACAAGATATAACATTATCGTTATCCGAAACGTAAAATGATTAGTTACAACATAATTTTGCGACTGCTGCATCAGATGCGAGGAACAGGATTGTAGTGCCCAACAGACGAATCAATGTTGCCGTTGAACGTCACGCTCGTACAGTATCGAATGAAGAAGCGGTCTTGCAAACCGTAAACAATACACCTGGCTATAAGTGTCCACGAATTGAGTTCACACATCAACTGCAAAAAATGCGCTAACTCGTATTAAAAGTTTAATGAAAAAATTAATGTTACGTACCTATTACAAAAGATGTTCAAAATGTCCACCATCGCATTGGATGCACAATTGCGCACGTCTAATTAAGTTTTGCTGCGCGTTAGGCAGCATTTCCGGTGTGACAATAGCAAATGTCTCAGTTATTTTTTCTTTTAACTTTTCATAATTGTTAATCCGTTCTCAATAAACATATTCTTTTATTGTGCTCCAAAGAAAAAAGTCTAACGGAGTTAGATCTGGAGATCTCGCTGGCCAATTAACAGCACTTCCGCGGCCTATCCATCTATCCGGATAGCTCGCATCCAATACACGACGCGCGCGTATAGATGCGTGAGGCGGCGCTCCGTCATGTTGGAAAAACATTTCTAATCTTTGATTTAGCGGCACATTTTTCGTTCCGGATAACGATAATGTTATATCTTGTTCTTATTTCATTGTTATTATTTTTTATTGTTGTTATTTCATTATTTTTATTGTTAATATGTGTTAATAAATAAACAAAAAACTTTCATTTAAAAAAAATTAGTTTCTTTTCTTACCGACATTTCTTACCGACATTTCATGTAGTAGATCATACTTCGTTCCGATAGTATTGATTTTCTCTCATGACATGAGAAACGTCATTTGTCAATGGCACGATTGCTTTGACAGTTCGACGCGCATCGTGTTTTAATACAATTTAGAAATTATTATCGTTAGTAAATTCGTCAGTATTGCAAACAATGTGAATAAAGTGAATAAAGTGAATAAGAACTGAGTGAAGTGAATAAAACGTATTGAATAAAGTGTTGTGCAAGGGTCCTTTCGAGATACGATGTCCTTGAGCGCGCGAAATTCTGACAAGCTGATTGGTAAGTTTTAAACCTTTCCCATTCAAATACTATAGTAGCCTCGACATTTTGGCATGAAGATTTTCGTCTCCAAATGATCTCAGGAATCTGCCATTAACGAGTGATACGGTAGGTCTGGGACACCCTGTATTTATCACTAGATAAAATATTTTATAAGCAAATAAATACTCATTTTCAAAAATTATTCGCAAACATGCACATTATAATTAAGATAAATTAAAACATAAATATTATAAAAACGTAAATTTACACATATAAAGACTGTGGCCAAATATCCATAGGCAATGTGCCCAATGTTTTTTGTAATCGATTTTGTACTCAAATGTAGTATCAGAAGAAAGTACTCATCAAGCTGATTACAAATAAGTAAGTCTTAAGGTGTAGCCTTCTACCGATCAAAAGAAAATGGACTCCAAAAGTTTTAAATAAGCCCAAAGCAGAACTTGGCACGATCTGCACATTTTGGTCGATTTCTATAAGCTAACGCCTACCGTCTCCCTTCTATGTCTTGAAACAACGCGCGCGTGTTTTCTATTTCTGTGTTTGTTTGGTTTTGTCAAGTTTTTCAGATATCACTTGTTTTTAGTGCTTTCCGTGACCAATTCCGTGAGCTCATCACTCTGCAGTATTCAGCTTTACAGTATTGTATTCTTCTACTGTACAGTGGTACTTTGGCTCGCTTATCTTTTATATGGCCATTGCCAGCCTTTTGTAATCCCAGATGAGCACTTACACAATATAACACTCTCTGTTTAACAATCATTAGAATAAATATACATTATTATACCTATTGGCTAACGGTTGATTGCGGTTGGTGTTGCGGGGTAGCACATTCATTTTTTCTGGATCAGAAGGCTACACTTTAAGACTTACATATTAGTAATCAACTTGATGAGTATTTTCTTGTGATACCACATTTGAGTACCAAATCAATCACAAAAAACATTGAGCACATTTTGGTCGCTCTCTTTACACATCTAACAGTAACTTATTAACACGTTGAATGCCTCGCAAATTTTATGTCTTACCAATCAGGCCTCAATAAAATTTTTGTTCTATTCAGTATGTAGTAAAATATTGTATAAAATGATTCAATAGATTATATTATGATTACTATTATTATTTGCATGAGGAAACAATCTTCATTGCTGAAGATCCGTCTGCGGCATTCAGACTGGTGTCCATTGTGCCCTTCTCCAATCAACCACCGCCTAAGAGAGCCCTGTCTTTCTCCGAAAGAGAATCCGGTCCCTCACCAGTAATCTGTTTATGTGCTCGAGCTCTAAAATAGTCGAGTATTCGTCGCCTCAGCCTAGCATATGCCGGGCAGAGGCTAATTACATAAAGACTTGTTTCTTCCCCCTCCCCACATGCTTTACACTCGAGCGTATTACTACGGCCCAACTTGTGCATGTGGTAGTTGAAAGCACCATGACTTGTCAGTATTTGCACTGCTAGTCTGACATCCCTTCTTCCCAGCGACCTTATACCTTTGGCCAACTCCTCGCCGGGTCAATTCCCCATTAAGCTCAGGCCTGTCTGCACTTAGTTCTAATTTAATTTCTCCAATATTCAAGATCTTCGTTCCGTAACCAGCTCCTGATCTTCCTTTCTGCCAAGGCAGAAAGGAATTTCTAGTGCCGGCGTCGGTTCTGTCATCGTTATCTCCGATTCAGCTTTAGCAAGTTAATCGGCAGCTTTATTACCTTGGATCCCTGAATGTCCCGGGACCCACCCAAGTTAGGATAACTTCATTTTCCTTCGCCCGTTCTTCTAGAGCACATTTGCCGTTCCAGACTAACCGTGAGATGAAGGTTGGAGTGCTTTTAACACAGCCTGGTTGTCCGAACAAATTCTAATGCACTCTCTGTTCTCCTTTTCTCTAACACAGTTTGAGTACATCTTAGAATTGCTACGACCTCTGCTTAAAAGACCGTAGCATATTTATCAAGAGGTAGGCTTTCTCCTATGTCCTCTCGATAGCAATAAAGAACCTCCTCAGAACCCGTGTCTATTTTGGAGCTATCTGTGTACCGGATGTCTTTGCTTTAAGCATGAGCCACCGGTCCTCTCGGTCCTTTCCAATCTTCGAGCTTAGGAAAGTGCACTTTGAAGCGTCTGTCCAAAGCCCAAATTACTGGCATCCTATCCTGTCTCATTTAAAAAATGGGGTCGGATAGAATGCCTCTGGAAATGCTTTTGTGTGTCTAACTCCCACTTTGCACCTTAGTTCACATTTCAGACGGTGCGCAACAGCTGCCGCCGCCGCCAGCACTACCTGGTGAAGCGGTTCGATACCGAGCAGCATTTCCATTGCTGCTACTGGCGTAGTTCGCATAACACCCAGAGCCCCTCTCAAAATTAGGGCCCTGATGTGCTCGAGTGCTGCCATGGCATTTCTCTTCCTTACTCTAGGCTACCATACTACTGCTGCGTACAGCAGCCTGGGACGGAATATAGCCGTGTAAAGCCAGTGGACTAGGTTTCAGGCTCCAAGTTGACCAAAGGTTCTTCTGCACATCCAGAAGTAAGAGCATATGCTCCTACAACGATTGTCAAAATGCTCTTTCCAAGGCAGTTTCTGGGTAACCCCCAGATCTAGGATAACCCCCAGATATTTCACTGACTCGATCGGAACTAACTTTACTCCGTCAAGAGAGTCCTTCTACTGTTTACCTTGTATTTGCGCGTGAAGACGACGAGCCCAGTTTTCAGTGCATCTATAAAGTTAGCACGACATTCTATTAATATTAAAAAAAAAACAATTACAATTTCAATAGCACTTTTCATAGTTCTACACTTTCTTTAAAAAATAAAAAAAAAGTTCCGTAATTTTTATACCAGAAAACCAAAAATGAAAAAATGTGCTAACTTCGCGAATCTAGCATGACCCCCCCTTCAAAGTACTTGATGATGATAAATATTATTATTTTTGGCAACAGTTCCCGTCAGTACTACTCGAGTTCTATCATTGTGTGTAATTTGAAAACAAAATTTCAACAACTACCAACTTTTT